TTCATTGTCGTTTCGTATGCGTGCCCGTCTGTCGTGTGTGTTCGTGTGGCTGCGGCCGTGAGTGTACGTGCACGCGGGTGCTCTCGCTTGTGCGCCGATGTGTCTGAATCTGTCCGGGGTGCACACGGGTGCACGTGTGTGTTCGTGTGTGTTCGTCGTGTATTCAGTTTCCGTGTAGTTACGTGTATCCTCGCGTATTCTACGCTCCCGTCGGTGTGTACTCGTATTTCCTCTCGAGAAGCGTCTCGTTTCTGCGTTTAGTCCAGTGAAAGAGTACAAGAACGCGTTTCAGACGGAAAAATTTGTCACGATGCTGTAAGTAGAATAACAGTAGATTAGCGTTTAGTATTATAACTAGGCGGTAATAACAGCGATACAAGTAGCGATACAAGTATAACGGTACGCATTAGAGTAGCCTCTTTAAATTTGCAGCATTTAAAGATATTTTTCTTTAGTTATGCTATAATAGAATAGTTCCTTTGAACTTTATGTGCAAGGAGGTTTCTCCTTTAAAATCGTCGGTGCGTTGAACGAGTGACAGGAAAAAGAGACGGAATGAGAACGAATCGGGATTGGGATTGACGTTCGACTCGAATGGGGGTAAGTGGTGTGGAGAAGCGGGAGAGAGAGGGGACAGGCGGAAGAGGGAAGAAGAAAGAGAAAATAGGAAAGAGACACAGTGGAGAGCAAAGAGAGAAGAGAGGCGAAAGTAAAAAGGGAAGCCAGCTGCTGGACATTTCGTTGAAACGTATCGGCACTTTGATTTTCGTGCCACCGATAAAGGTCGCTCGGGAAACAAATGAAAGTCGCGAAACGATCTCTGTGATCGGGACCGTTACCATTCGCACGACGTGATGCAGTTTCAGCTGCACGAGATAAGTGGTTGCATTCACGAATGCAAGAATGGACAAATAATACTGCGAACATTTTTCTGTACCATTGAAAATGATCGAGCCTCTGTTTCATGTTCTTCTTCTCATCTCTCGTTGAGCAGCACTCTTGTCGTTCGTTAAAAAGTACTTTTAGATGGTCGTTACGTAAACTCTGATCAATCCCAAGAATGACGTTTTAATCGGTGCACCTTTAAACGTTCACCTCGCGAGAATACAGTGTTGCGAATTTTCTTTCCTTTGCTCTCGATCTTCCTTTGGATCATTAGTAATCGAGTGCTCGTCAGAGACCGGCCCTCAGCGTGCTTCTCTTTTTATCCCCCGCTTCTTCCGCCTTTCTTCCGTTCCTTTCGCTTACCTTGTTTCAATCTGCACTGAAAAGTTTTCCTCCTTTGTACGTGCGCTGTCGACAAGTAAAAGAGGGATGCAGAAAGAGAGGTAGAGAGGTAGAGAGATAGATAGGGAGAGAGAGAAAGAGAAAGAGAAAGAGAGAGAGAGAGAGAGAGAAAGGAGAGTGAGGAAGAGAAGGGAGGACACTCTAGCTCGACGAAGCCTAATTACGAGAATTTTACACGGAAAGCACCTAGAAATCACGCTAAGCGGAATTCGATCTCTTACCATTATTAATTCCCCTTGAAAATGTAAAAATTACTTAAAACAATTCTTAGTTCGCGTGACCCGCTTACATACGAATATAAGTAAATGTAAATCGATTCGCCTCGATTAATTGTCTCGAGTCGGGTACGCAGCGTACAAGCGGCGTGCCGACGATCGAACGCGGATCGTCGGCGAAACGTTCAGGCACATCGGTGATTCTTAACCTCGAGACACGGTGTACGCGGTTTCGCGGCGAGCACGAATGAATTCGAAACGATCGAACGCGACGGCGGTCCCGTCGCGAACAAGGAGAATTCGACTGGAGAGCGGGCTTCCCGAAATTGTCCTCGCTTCGATTTCGCTCGACCGAGCCACGAGAGTAGTGCAGCCCGCGCGATTATCCCATTCCCCGCCGCCTCTGACAAACGGCGAGTGACTTTTTCTATCCTCGGATCGAAACGAGGGGAAACTGAAAGAGAAAGGTGTGCGGGACCGTTTTCGTCTGACCGCGGTAATTACTCGACGGTATTCGAAATCGACGTTGCGGAAACGATGAAAGCCACGGTAGGCGGCGCGGCTAGCCAACGACGCGGCGGCGCCGTTGAACCGGACTCGATCGAGATCGAGATCGAGGCGTAAAAGCGGTGGAAAGGTTAAGAATCGTCGATATACGTTTCCGCGAAATGTCTCCGGCGTTGACCGAGGCGAACGACGACGATCCTCCGGCAACCATCGGAACAAATAGAAAAATATAACGGTTTCTTTGTTTAGGGGCGTGATTTTCACGCGGCAGTCGAGCAAACTAAAAATTGCTTTAGCAGGATCGAGTTGACTGCCACCGACGCGCTAAACGCGAAGCGCGAGGCGCGATGGGTCAACTAAGCCAGCCAGCCAGCCAGCCAGCGTTCGTTTCGTAATGCCATTTTCAGTTCGCAGTTGGAAGCAAAGCTGATTCCACCGCGGAAGTTTCACCGCGAGTTTGTTCAACAACGCGAACAGCTCGTTAAAACTCTGTGTTTTCCTGTCTGCGGCGGATCGGTGACTGGGCTCGTCGATCCTCGCGTCGATTCTTCGCTGCGAATACGAGTTTCGAAAGATCGTCGTGGTTTCGCGCTCTATCCGGACATCCATCGGCGTTTCTATCACCACGGACGAAGGATCCTCCCGAGCGGCGCGCGCGTCGATCGGGAGTAGGATCCCTCGAATCCGTCGCATCGCGGCTGGAGAAGTTGAGTCTGACTTATCGTTAACGCTCACGATCGACCCCTTGAAATTCCATCTTAACGTCGCTAACAAAGTTCTTCGATTATTGCTACTGTTAGATCGATGACCGATCACCGGCTGCGCTCGACGCAAGCGCGTCGTCTCGTTCTCCTGTCCCCTTCGTCCGTCGAAACGTAGGCGAGATCGAGATCTAACCGTGGACCGCCTCGACGGCCGTGGAGAACGTACGCGTTTAAGCTGGAAAAAGTGTGCTCGAAAAATTGCGGCGTGTATCACGCATACGGGTACTCAGCGTCGCGACGCGCCGTCATCGAGACGGGGCACGCTTCGTCGATTTTCCGGCGGTTATCGACGCGAGGCGTTCGCGAAGGTTCCCTCGAGCCTTCGACGCGACGCCCGGACTCTGTATAATCTAATCGTACAGTATGTTTTACGCCTCTTACCTTGTTCCTTTCCGCTATAGATCGTAAGATAGACAAAGAAGAAGGTATACGCGCTAACCTCCGCCGTTCACGCGTACGAGCAACGAAGAGTAAATGGGAGCGCCGGTCGTATTACTCCGGAGACGTAAAGGAGCGTCGTTGTCTCGCGACGCGTTCCCCCGTCTTCGTTCAACGCGAAACTCTCGTTGCACTTTTGATCGCGGCGCAACAAGTGAGTCGAAAACCTGGCAGGGGCGAACAGGTATGTTCCATCCGGAGGTTCCCGTCTTCCATCGACCGCGAAACCGTAGAAAGGAGAGCACGCTCGTTAATATCGTCGGAAAGGGCATCGTAAACGTAAACTTTAACGTTCCATACACCGCAGCGTCGCGTGTATGATTTCCAGCGAGGTTTCTCCGACTTATACGCAACCCAGCGTAAGTGCTTTAAATTTCCTTTCGAATTCAACCCTTTGCGGTTGAAGAGATTCTTTTAAATTAGATATCGAACGCTTAAATCAAAGAGAATAAGGAAACTATACTGATTTCTCGCTGTTTGAATAGTTAAATCGTTTGCCTGCAACTTGCTGTTCCAAACATGGAAGTTTGATCAAACGTCGGCGTTCGTCCGGTATGGGTTAATGGTTAAGCGGGTTTTCGAAGGGGGACGCGATAAACAGCTAGATAGATAGGTAGATAGACAAAGTTAAAGTCGGACAGGCATCGAACGCGGCGAGGAATCAACGAATCCGCTCGAACGTGTTTCGCGTGGCAACGAGGGTTCTTCAAAGTTCGCGGTACGAAGGGAAATATCCCGGATCTGAGAGAAGATCCCCAGCGAATCGCCAATTTCGAAGCTCGGGCACACATCTCCCCGCCGCAGATGTTTACCTTCTGCTTACTCGCCCGTCTCTCTGTCAGTTTATATCGCTCCGCTGAAATTTACATAAGACCATCGACACGGAAAAGGTATTACGCTCGCGCCACCCGGCACCGGCAACCGAGCGGACTCTTTCCACGATTGGGATTGCGACGGCTCGAATGCGGCGGGTGCGTTAATCCGAGGCAGCGCCAACCGAAAACCGACTCACGATCTATACGAGTACGTACGTACGTAATGTATGCGATATCGTCGTTTCGCATGCTGGCTCGAGCGGTACGGGAGTTTCAATTAATCGAGTAAAATAAGTCGGACAGAAGACGAATCATTTTGGGCGGCAACGACGCCGACAGCGGTAACGCGAGCTCGTAGAATCTCGAAGGCGACGGGAGGAAAGGAAGGGGAGGACTGGGAAGTTTGCCAATAAGCGGGATTTTTCAATGGGCGTCGCACGAAGGGAGCGTTCCAGGATTTCACGAGGATCGCGTCGCGTGAACAGCGGTCAAAGATCGTCGAATATTCGATGAATTCCGCCGACAGCCAACTTCGAATGAACAACGGTCGTCGCGAAGTTCACTTGGATGCTCGGCTAATTTTTCGAATCGCTTTGGAAACTCGATTTCGAAATTGTACCGCGCACGATCCGGGAGACCGATCCACTGCACCGGAAAAGAAGCTTCGAGCGGTGCAGGAAATTACGGGCGAAAGAGGAAAACCGTTTCAGTCTTTTCTCTTTTCGTTCTTGCACTTCCGGAATAATCTCAATCTCGGGAACGCGTCGTTTGATTCCGGATAATCGTCCGCCAAGTAGTCCGTGTACGTTGGTAGAAGTAGGTGTGTACGGTTGAAGAATACAAGGAAAGAGAGCTACTAGATCATCGGTGCAATATTCGGAGGCGACTCGAGATTTCCCGAAACAGGCGTTTCGCGTTGCCAGCATAAATCAGGGAAAGTTCGGGGGCGGAGAGGAAGTTTTCGATACGGTCGCTGCGCCAGGATGAATCAGAAGCGACTTTGGCTGTTTCGATTCGCAATGTTTCCCGCGGAAAATATATTGCGTTTTTGGTAAATCAATTCGCCGCGCGCCGCGCGTAACCGGGAGGAAATCGGGTAACGAAACGCGAGGGAACGGGGAACGAGATTTCGGAATTGAAAAGAATTAACGATACCAGAGGCTGGCGTTCGCGTGAACGTAACTGCATCGAGCGAACGAAAGTAGCGAAAACCGTTGCAACTCCCAGTACGCTTGGCGAGCAAAGTTTCGCAGAATTCCGTTATCTCCTAACGACGCGGACCGGCCGGGAAGCAATCGCCGGGAGAATATTTCGCGTTAACCGGCATGTTAAATAGTTAAATCATTCGCGTAATTGGGTTCGCGTGATCGCGATTACAGCTCGGCAACGAGGGGGAACGCGCTAGAGGATCGCAAAATGCCAAATGGGAAGGTCGGGCCGGAATAAGCTGGCCTCCGCGACGAGATTCTCGCGTTCGCGATGCAATATGAATACCGCGAATACCGGGGGCCCGGGTAAAACGTTCTAAACAAGAGCGGCCAATAGAGCGATAAGCGTCGCGGACCCGATGTTAGCAGCGTTGAACGGTCGATCTCTATTCGAACGGAAAATTCCGTGACGCCGAGGGCGGGCATTCTTACGCAACAATTTACGGAGGGTAGGCGGAAAGGAATGGCGGAAACGAGCTAGAGGATTTATGGGGATGTAGTCCGGTGCTCGAGGAAAATGGAGCCGCGCCGTTTCCGAGCGAGAAATTAAAAAGCCGCGAAGCGCCGGTACAAATTCGATGAGCTCCCGGAGAGTCTACAACGCCCGCTCCCTCGTTTCGCGAAGACGAACCGGCGCTGTTGACTTTCACGGTGAAAAGGAGGGTGCATTAATACCGAAGACGGAATTCGTCGGAGCGCCACGGAGGGAAAAAAATAGGACGCTAACGGGGAGGCGCGGTGTCTTTCGGTCGGTCGCGGTGACGCGGCGACGCGGCTGAAATTCCCCGGAGAATTATTTCTAGGACGGAAGAGCTCAAGATTAATTGCTGCTCCCGAAGGCGCGCTACACAACGGACGCCCATGATGCCGTTTAATTAACCCTTTCACGGTGAGTGCATTTCATTGTCGACCCGACGAACACGCGAAAGTCTTTCGAGGTGAAGCTCGCCACCGGTTTGCTTACACGAAATCGAGTATCGACCGGACGGGAATTGCCTCGAGACCAACCACCGATCCGAAAATTCGGCGAACTATCGATATAAGAATGTATCGTTCGAGCGCCGCACGGTGCGGCCAAACGGCCATTGGACAAAACTCGATAACTTGAGAAGTATGAGCCATAGACAAGAATGTTTCAGACAAAAGTTGTAAGGTATGAAGATAAGCACACGGCGATTGTATTTTTATTCACGTTATGGGGATATTATCAAGTTTCTTCAGTGACAATGGATATTTTACTGTTCGATTCCGACGTTATATAAATAGAGAAACGGCGTTTGCTCAAAATTTTGATTTTTGAAGTGAAAATCGTTTTGTATGGGATTACTCAGAAATACATTGGTAACGTTTAATTTTCAATATGCGAGTGTCGTATTTTAGGGTTTCGTCTGTAGCCGCACTGTGCTTCGCCTCCCGGGAATTTCAGTTTTTCAAAGATTCGGATGAGGATGCGTTTAACGCGTTGACTGCCACGAGAAACATCTGCATTTTATGTATCGCTTATTCTTTTGTAACGAAGATAAGGAATTATTAATTTGTCATCGTGATTTTCACGTTACGTCAATGTCTAGTTATTTAGCTAGCTGAAGATTTTTATTCGACACCAGTTTTCTCACGCGTATTATAATTATTTTCCAGTAATTACGAAGCTCCGGGCATCAACGAGCACCGCGGCAGTCGACGTGTCGGGGTAAGTACCTACAGAGATAACGGTGATCGCGTGGAGGCTACTTACCACTCGTCGAAACGAGGATAGCGTGGAGGGATTTGGGGAACGTAGCTCTCGCGTAACGAGCGGCAGGAGGAGCGGAGCTCGCTAACGAACCGCGTAAAAACGAGATTCGTGTAAAAAAGGAACCGTATGAAACTCGATTTCGCCGCACGCGTTCCCGAACACTCGTTTCGATTTTTAATTAACAATCTCGATAAACCGCTTCGCGTCGGTTGCCCTCGACGCGTCCCTTCGATTCGAAGCTCGTTATTTCCATTCGATCGCTATCGCAGCCGACGCGCGAATTTCGACCGTCGAACTTTGCTTCGCGCATAGATCACGCGTTCGAATTCCAAAAATTCCGATTTACACGCGGATATTCCAGATTCAAGGGAACCTGAAGCGACGAGGAAAAGAAGTTTCCAACATCGACGAGACGTTCTCTTTAGAAATTCCTCGCCGTTTTACGATCGCCCCGAACGCGACCGACGCGGAAAGAAAAGCGTAAAGCAAAGGAGAGGGCCGAGACGAGCTGCTTTCCGGTTTGTTTGTCCGGTTTCCCCCTTTATTTTCGCGAAACTGCTGGCGAAACAGCCTTGAATTTTTAACGAACTCGTCGTCCCCTGGACAAGGCACTGGAAGTTTCAAACGCAACGCTGCCGAGTGATTCTTTAAAGGGACACCGAGCCCCGACATCCGGTGTAAATACGTAACGCGACTGAAAGAGCGCACTTCCGTCGCGGTCGTCTCCGTGAAAACTGAAATTCATCGAGCTTCGACGTGCACGAACAGAAATATTCGCTCTCCTGCCGGGAAGATTACGCGATTCCGACAAATGGTCGGTGGTTCCCGTCGCTCGTTCCCCATCGACGCGCGATATCGACCGCGGGAAACTTCCATCTTGTAAGTGGAAACGAAATTTGCGTTCCGCTGCGAGGTAGGCGAGGAGAATGTCGATGCTCGAGGATAAAAGGCGCGGAGGAGGTGAACGGGATCGACTTCTTCGCCGGAGCGGCGGGCCGAAAAGCGGAAGAAGACGGAAAGAGGAGTAAGGAAACGGTATTACAGCGAAGCGGTTGAAAGGTCGGGAAATTTTAGCCCGCCGATCCACGCCTCCCGCCAAACTCGAGCCATTCCCTGTGTATTTCTCCTCTCGAATCCGCCGCGTTCCGTTCCAGCTCCGTCATGGCCATTGCGCCGCCGCGGCGCCGCGCGATTCGCGTATTCGACCGCCCGCGGCCCGTCGAGTTAAAACCGCTCCGGGAACCACTCACCCTCTCCACTTCCCTCTTACTCTAATCACTTCCCAGCCTCTTTCATCGCCGTTCTTCCGTTTCCTTTTCTTTCAACGCGCAACTATATCGGGTCAGCGCAGAAGAAACGTATACCTCGTTGAACCTTTTCACTCGGGAATTCGACGGACTCGCGGTCCGCAGTTGCCGGGCAGCGTATCTCGCGCGGAAAAGGATCAAACGGAAAATATAATTGATCGTCCATAGTTCGGAGTATTACGCGGTTCCGTTGAAAGCAGCAAGCTTTTCACGCGGTACGCGCGATGCATGATGTATGATGTACGATGCACGGCGCACCGATCCACGATAAATCTTCCGCGAATGTTTAACGCAAACGCGCCGCGGGGAATCGATAAGCGGGCAACGTAATTGTACCCGTCTATTCTCGACGCGAGCTCCCCTTTTCCATCGTCGGCGTCAACTTTAATCCCCAGGATATCGTTTCTTCGAGCAAGCCGCGCGGCGAACGCTTGACGGCTGAACTTTGTTCTCCGTCGCATCCGAGCGGACGCGCAACGGAATCGTCATCTCTTTCCGCGGCCGCGGTTTTTAAATGATCGCGATCGTCACTCTTCCTCTGCCAGCGACGAAACGTTATCGCTTCTGTTTCCAGCATCGAGAGTTCGCGGGACTATATCCGTCGGAAGGGAATGAAAATAACCGGGCTTCCGATCGATTCGGCCCACCCTCGGTTTTCGCGGACCATCTCGGCGGGGTTCGTTCGCAGGTGCGCGTTCGACCGTCGCTGCTCGCTCCGTTCGTCGTCCGCGCGGAACGGTCGGGCGCTCGGTTAATTGTAAGTACGAAGAACTAGAAAATCGGCGGCTACTCGACTTCCACTACTCGAGAACATCTACGATTTCTAAGAATACCATCGCACGATTATCGGAACGATCGCGCAAACAGGAATGAAACCGTTTCTGCGTAAGAGAAAGGAGAAAGAGAACTATTCGAAAAAGATTGATCGCGCCGCGCTCGAACGAGTCGCGCGTCGCGGCGACTCGCGGAGTACCTGCGTATGCGTGCACCGGTTTGATCGATTACGGGGGTGCTGCGTTAAGACCGCCCGGTTCGCTTGACCTTATCGTTCGGAATCCTCTGCCCCCTCCGACGAACGGATCGAGGCGGCCGCACGGTCGTCCGATTTCCGACGAGCGACTCGTCGCCGCTCGGTCCCGGCGAGCCTCGCCATTACTCGCCGCCCAACGATAACGCCTGCACGATCCTGGGATCGGCCTTGCTGCCCTCCCGAAACTCCTCGAGCGTCAGCTTGTCGTCGTGGTTTTTGTCCATTTGATCGAAGATCTTGTCCACCCTCTTCTGCGGCGTGTTCTCGTCTTCCGCTTGCGGCTGCTGCCCCTGCAACATTCCGCGCACGGCCCGTTAGTCATCCGCCTATAAGGTCTGTACCCTCGCCGACTTATCATCCTATCTTCCTGTCTCGATTTCCCCGGGTACGTGCCGTCCGAACGTTAACGCGAACTTTTATCGGCACTTCGGGACGGTTAACAGACGGACGTCGCGTCTCTCGACGAAACATTCGAAATTTACGTGTCCTCCGTTCCGCGATTGCCGTGCGGCAGAATGGGGATGGTCGATAGACAGTTTTTCTATTAACGAGCTCGCGACGACGCGGGGAATCGGGAAGAAATCGCGCATGCGGGGCGGTTCGAGTCGGTAGCAAAGGTCGGACGCAACTGAAATCACGGCCAATTATCGCGGCGATGTCGGCTCTTGATATTTGCGAAGAGCACGAAAGCGAATAGCAAATGTGTGGGTGCCGTATAAAATATCGAAGAGACCGTTGTACCGGGCTCGTTCCCATTAACACGGTTCTAGCGGGTTTCGAATTTCTCTCGTCTTTTACATTTACGTTGGCCATCGGGGGATTCGCCGGTGGTGCTATGGTACAGACTGAATAAATATTCTATTTGTAATATGGGACTCATCAGTGGTACTGTGAAAACTTAGTAAAAACTGTCGAGTTTGATAATAGGTGTTGTAATTATAAGCTTGAATCACGAAAAGAGAAAAACGTTGACTATTAACGAACCACATACAGTGACGTTCAAAAGTTCTTGGCCAGATCGTTTTTGGAACTTTTCTTACAGACTGAAGACCTTAAGAACTTTTTGTTAGTATGATACATAAAGGACATATTGCATGAGAGGACACTGTAAAAAGATCAATACTATCTGTTCTTCATACATACTTTTTTACAAATGAATAATTCAGCATGTTCAAAGTCAAACCTTTTAAAAAAGAAAATAATGCTTGTTTCCTATTATAAATAACAATTCTCCTATTAGAACTATCAGATAGGTCAAAATGACCCATTCCTTGATGTTCTCCTCCGCAATGACTAAAAAGGTACTCATGCCTTAAGCAATTACCAGAGAAGTTGATTAAGTAACACCTAAGCTGAAATTTAAACCAATTCGAACCTAACACGTTCTCTACCAGCGTTCATTTCGATGACGATTTCCGCATTTGTAATATTCTCTTCGACTCAACAAATCTTCTAAACAAAATACTGAAGAAACGAAACTGAAACGAATCATTGAGTCCCCAAATATAATGCCGTGGCTTTTAACCTTAAACAGCAATATTTATAGAAATAATGTAATTTTCTTTATATAAAATACAACACTGCTGCCGTCACGAATGCGTGACGCCGGTAGCGAACGTGTTAATGTATTCACGTTTGTAATTTCCGCAAAGAAATTCTCAAAAGTCCGTTTAAGAGCTCGACAGCGTTTTCAACCGAAAACGATTCGCCCGGGGACTGCTAACGCCACTGTAAATGGTATCTACGGGAAGAATTTAAAAAAAGTTGGCCAACGCGTTAGAGTTTCTACACGACCGAGATTTAACGAAACGATCTCGCAACAATGTATTCCATGTTCCCTCCGCGAAGGAGCGTATCTTGGATCTCGCGTTTCGTTGGCTCGGCGAAGGAAAATTTACACGGCTTCTTTGAGCGTAGGGTTCGTTTCACCGTCCGCTTTACCGTCCGCTTCGCCGCGGCGTACGCGTGCGTCGCGCTATAACGATAAACTTAGCTTCAATAACGCGCTACGTGTTCTATCTCGTTTAAAACTGAAATTATGCCACGACGCTGCACGCTCGCCGTGAGAAATCATTGGATAAAAGTCTCCCTTTGTCGCTGGTGGCCCGGTTTCGATGCGGCGCCGCGTCGCAAACGTATCGGGACTCCGGGGGATTAACGCGGCGTGTCCCCTTTAACGAAAATGCAAAGTACCGGGGTATAACTTTTCGTTAAGCCCCATGGTTCATACGGCAAACGGCTAACGCCGCGCGGGCGGTCGCGTTTTAACCAACCCCGTTGCGCCGGCCACCCTTTCTTCGTTACATTCATTTTTTCCCATTCAATATCGCGGATCTAAGTGCACGACCTACTTTCGCGAATTTAATGCCGACACCGGGTATGCACGTTATAACGGTTTTCCTTTCGCGAGGAACTCGTTATTTATTCTCGTGTCGCCGGGGAAACTCGACTGGACCAATTGAAGAAGGGACATCCGATTTTTCCGTGGCCCCGCGCTCTGTCCTCCGATCGCGTCGGTCACGTTCCGGCGCATGCGCTCCACGTTGAACTTTCCGTTCGGGACAGTTTGTCGATTGGTAGAGTGAATGTTCAATGACGCGTTTGTTAACCCATTGCCGCGAACGACGGCTATAGCCGTCCATTTTGTCGCGATGTGTAGGCAAATCACGGCTATAGCCGTTCTGCGTACTTTCATTAAGAAATAAATTATTCTTCGGTGATGCATTGAACAAAAATAATGTAACAGTCTAGGTAACATATAAGTTGATTTTGTGTACGATTTTTCATGGCCCGAACAAGTCGAAAGAAAGAATTAAAAAGAAAATTGCGTTTCCGGGCACGATTTTTGAACTTAAAAATGAAATTAATTGATTTGTTGTCTAATGTGTCTCAGTGGCCGCTTGATTCAGTACATATAAAATCGTAACATTTAATACTTAATGTTAAGTTTTCTATAATGCATTAATATTTGAAATGTTGAATAAAGAAAACTATACTTCTTAATGTATGCACACTGTCTCGTTAAGTGGCTTTCAGAACACGTCTGTATCTCATCGGAAAATGTTGAATATCTCTAGTGAAGTACTTTTGGAGCGCAAAGGGTTAATCACACCCCTTTCTCGTTTATGCCTTTGTACAATGTATCTCTACTATTGTGAAAAATGTGAGGCATAGGTCAAGAGGAAAAGGATTTAAGTGTAGCGGTCTGAATGGAAAGTATCCAAAAATCGGTCCGATGCGAAGCGTGTTAAACAGCCGAGCTTCGACGTATTTTTGGCAAGGTTTTTTAAAATTCACAGCCACGAGAACTAGTAGAAAATTGCGATATTGTGGCGTTGGTTAGGACCGTGGTAAAGTCCGACGAAGAAAAGATTTCACTTGTCCCAAAAGCTAGAAAGTCAGGAGGCAAGGAAACTGGAAGAAACGCCGACTGCGACGAAGTGAGGTATAACAATAGAGACTGAAGTCGGCGACATGATTTTTATTTTCTGTCGTTACGTGAGTCGCCCGTGTAATGTGGTTAAGTCGATTTCTTGATATTTTCTGATTGTTGTCGATTTTAACGGAATAAATAATATTCTTTTTAGTTATTAACAGGAAATCCACCGGATGGATCAAATTGACCTACTTCAGAATTTTTATTTTCCACGTGTTCAAACTATAAATGAGTCTTCGAATCTCAAGAAACATATTCTAATTTCGATAAGAAATTGGAAATAAATCACTCTAGTTTTTCGGTAGATGGTGTTAAAGGATTTACTCGGTCCTTCGTTCTTTCTATGTCAGAAAGCCCTTTTTATATCTTCCGAATACGTTGCATAATAATTTCAGATGCCAAAACACTAATTCCCTCAACTTCTGTTTCCTTATTAAATAAATCCTATCGACACAAACACATATCGAATAAACCAATAAATTCTAAATAAATCTCAAATTTGAATAAACGAATATACGTATTCAACCAAATGTTTTATCTATTATCAATGCCGTGGGGGTCACCGGTACCTCAACCAAATCGAATTACTATAATTCATTCGATTAAACGATGATTATTTGAAAACTGCCCTATATTATAAGTAACACTACTTAATGCACTGACATTCAACAATTCAAACCTGCAATAATAACAACCTAATTCAATTATATAAGTTGATATTACGTTATCTTCATTTCGTATATTTTCCTCTGGAAAATCGTGCGGCTTACTTATATAATAATCAATACATCGTCTCATTGATAAATAAATCTTAGATGAACGCGACACATATTTATGTTCCCAGACTCTCAACCGCATTGGTTTCTAAGCGTCTCTCGTCTCACTTCGTCGCATTCGGTGTCCCTGCAGTTTCCCCGGCTCCCCGACTCCCCAGCTTTCAGGACAAGCGAAGTCTTTTCTCCGTCGGACTGTATGTAGGTAACGCGTACGATTCGAGTAATCGTTCCATCTTTTGTCCTCGATCCCGGCCACCTCTGTTCCACTAAAAATAAGCTCGTCGTCGCTCGGCCGCCGCCTCTCTTGAATAATCGATGCGCAACTTTATCGTCCGCTCTCGAAGCGAAGTCGATCGACGCGGGTTCCTCCGAAGAATCGAAATCAACCGGGCACCGTTGCCCCTTCCAAGCGGCTCGGTAGCAATCGACGAATACGAAAGCAACCGCGTATTCCCTTTGCGCGAGGTTTTCGCGATTTCGGAAGCCGTTTCGCGAGGTGAAGGCCAATTTTCATCGGAACGATCGGGAAACGATATCGCGCCGGATCGAGTAGCGCTCGTTTCGCGAGGAATCACGTCGATCGGCATTTTCGCAGGTGACACGAGGAAGTGTTCCGGAGCAATTTCGAGTGCGGGTACTCACCACCATCTCGTATATCGCCTCGACGATGTTGTACATCTCGGCCCTCGTGATAAAACCGTCGTTGTCCACATCGTACAGCCGAAACGCCCCTGGAACGAACAAAAGCGCCGAACGTCTGCAACTGGTACGTACTACTTACGTAATTCAACCCGAAAATGTTTAACCTTTCAGCTACTGTACGCCACTACAGTGGCTCTCGCGTGTGTTACCTTTTTCAACGATACGCCACTGTAGTGGCTTTCGTGGATATCGTGTTTTCAAACGGTATGCCACTGAATTGCCTCTGAATTAGCCTGATTGCCTCCGTCGTCCCTTTCGTTTCGCATTTGCTCAACGTAAACAATATTTCCCAACAATATTTCTAATGTCATCGTAAGAAGCGTCTTACAGTTTCGCGCGGTACGTTTCAAGCTTATCGTACGCAGTGTCGCGGAAAATCTCGCGGTAGCTAAAAGGTTAGAAGGTTAAATCCTTAACACGTCAAGCGCCACGAAAATCTTAAGCGTTCTCCTGTAGAGTTTCTCCTTCGTAGCAACGAAAAGGAACAATTATTACTCATTTGACGTTACAATGTTTGCATTACACTATTATCAACTTACGTTATTAAACATTTTCATTTCGCATTATCTTGTATGTACGACCGTTTTCTAGTCAATCAGAAGTAGTCAGCAGTGAGTGACATGGCGCTTAGCGTGTTAAGCATTCGGTTAAACGCTCGCGTCTTAAGGTTTCTACTTTTCTACTCGGAAATCGACAGTCAAAGAACATGGAAAACATCGACACAAATACACGCGACACACGTGCTTGTCAAAACAATATGATACGTGCTCGGCTACGTTCGAGAGAAGTCGACTTCGATTCTGGATTGCTCGCGAGACGCTTGCGGTTCTTTATTGTAGCGAAAAGATGTTCCACTTACAGTGAAGTTTCTCGTCCAAGTTGCCACGCGACGTCACCGAGAGCGCTCTTATGAATTCCTCGAATTCTATCGTGCCGTCCTGCAAGAGAATCGTCCCAGGATCCAGGCTCGTATCTGCGCGTAGCCCGACCAGACGCGAACCATTCAGAACGACCGGCGGTCCGTCGTGGAAGCCGATCGTTCGCGAGGTCGAAGCGGTCGTTCGCGAGAACGCTCGCGCGTTATGGAAAAATGTTTACTCCGAGGGATGATTCAACGCGAGAACCGTCGCCGTATATCGTCCGTTGGCGAACACGTAACGCCGTCGCAACGAAAGCGTTCCCAGATTCGCGTGTTCCGCGCGGGTAAAGGAAAATAATGAAAACCAGGCGATAATGCCACGTCCGTCCTTTTCGGCACGCGAAATACGAGTATCGCGAACCGCTTAAACTTCAAGGGACGCGAAATTGTTTCATCGAACGGTGGCCAGCGCTTTTATTCTCTTCTCGATGGGCTGAAATACTACTTCCGCGGCTGTAAAATGCAAATACCGTGGCCACGAAGAGGCCATCTCGTACCGAAACCGTGGAAGGACAGCGGAATAGATACAAATGGCTGCTTTGCATAAATTTCGATAGCCGCGCTGTATAATCGAAAACCACACCCCCGAGGAGAGGCCGCAGGCTATCTTCCCGGCGACTTCGTTCGGGAGACCCTTTTATCTACGAGGCCATTTCCAAACATTTCTCGGGAGAATTTGATGTGTGTCCGTCGCGGTTCCCCGCGCATGCGGCGAACGAGCTTCTCGACTCGCGACGTTCGAAGAACTTTTCGCGCGGCGGACAGCGGAAATATGGACGGGCGTGCTAGGACAGGAGGATCGAAGAAAAAAAGATCGATCTCGAAAGCTGCTGGAGTCCCGAATAAAGTTGCCGAACGTCCCCCTCCTCCCCTTCGTTCCGTCCTTCCTTCCGTTCTATCGGTATACTTTCGAACTCGTTAACTTCCGCCTTGAACCCATAAAGTGGCCACGCACGTCGAGAAACGTCGATAAGGGTGGGGTGAAAGATCGACTCGATAACGTCTCAATATTTCCTCGCACGAATTAACGGCGGTGCCGCGGTCCGCAGTGACGCCGGGAAACTTACGCTGTTCTCGTCGAAAACCCTAAAGACGAGGGTGGCGAACTTGGAGGGATCACCTTGGGGAAAGAACTGCTTGTAGATCTTTATGAAACCCTGAAATCATGCGTATCGAGTTC